TAAACTCTGAACCCAACCCTAAACCGCTAGCACCCTAAGCCCTAAACCCCTAAAAGCCCTTTAACCCCTCAACCCCTGAACTCCTAAACCCCTGAGCACAGACCCCCCCTACCCAAAGACTCCAATATCCCTTAATTAAGGAATATTCCTTAAATTATAATAGGATCCCTAATATGATTTAAGGAATATTCCTTAATTAAGGGATATTGGAGTCTCTGGGTACATCCCCAAAAGCCAGGGCCTCGCGGGGCTTCGGAGCGCTCTTTGTTGCGGGCCTTCCAACGGAGGAGATTCACTGCTTGGAGGTTCATGGGTATTTATAAAGTAGGGGTATAGTCATAAGTAGGGTTCCTTTAAAGGGATCTATAAGGGTATAGGGTTTAGGGTCTACTTGGAGGTTCATGGGTAGTTACAAGTAGGGTTCTACGTAGGGTTCCTTTAAATGGATCTGTAGGGTTTTCTATAAGGGTAAGGGGTTTAGGGTCTACTTGGAGGTTCATTGGTAGTTATAAGTAGGGTTATAGGTAGGGTAACTATAGTTGTAACCCATATTAGGGGACTTGTAACCCCACTTATTTAACTACCCATGAACCTCCAAGTAAAAAAGGTAGGGGTTTGTTTAGGGTCAGGGTGTAAGGTTTCGGGTTCAGGGCCAGGGTTTAGGGATTTGGTTGAGGGTTCGGGTTGGGGCTTTGAACGGCTTTGTGCAGTTCTTGTCACGTGCGGGGGGTCTTGCAAGGATTATCTAGGATTGCACAGGGTTCAAGGTTTGGCTGTCGCAGTGAGAGTGTTGTCGTTTTAGGCTGTCTTGCTTCTTGCTTTGCTGTTGACAGTTTCAGGTTAACGATTTCGGCGGTGGACGCGGAGGAAAGTAGGTGGTTTCAAGAGCATCGGTAGTGACTACGGAGTATGGCACAGGTGGAGCTAAGAAAGAAGTCATTGGAGTTTACATGAATTTGCAAGTCTTTGTACTGTTCTTGTTTGGGCCGTCTAACGAGCCATGTATACACTCAACAAAAACCTCACAGGGAGGCCACCTCATGCATGCAGGCTCCCCTGTAGCAACCTTCCAGTAACCCTTTCAGTAATACAGTAACCCATACCTAGTGCTCACATGTGGCATTTCCGGTCGCCACGCCTGCTGCCCGCGCTGCTGGGCTTCGCCCTCGGTCCAGGTCTTGCGACTATTTGGCTTCCGAGTTCCTCAAAAAACCATCGAGACCGAAGCTCAGAACGGAACCCAGAACCCCCAAACACAAACCATTAAATCCAAACCCCCAAACCTTAAACACCAAATTCCTGAGCCCAGTGGCTCAACAACTCTTGCCCACCGGGCACCGGCGTCCGGGGTGTGGGTGCTTGTGTTTAGGATCCCTTGTTCAGGAAGAAGGGTTTTGGGTTTGAGGTTTATTGTGCAGTGCAAGGCATGAAGTCATTAAGCCTTTCCCTAAACCCTAGACCCCGCACCCTAAACCGAAAATAGGGGACCCTAATATAGTACCCCAAAATAATAGGATCCTTATTAAAAGGACCTCAAAATGAGGTACCCCTATATTCAAAGGCGTCCTCTGGGCACAGGGCTTCGCTTCCGCCTTTGGTCTCGGCGAGGGCGGGCGCCTGAGTCTCTGAGAGTTCCAAGCTTTGAAGGCATTTGGGTGATTTAGGGTTTTTTGAATTTTGGTGCGATTTAGGGTTTTTTGGATCTTGGTGTGTTTAGGGTTTTGGATTTTGGTGCGTTTAGGGTTTTAGGGGGGGTGTTTAGGACTTTGGGGTTTGAGGGCTTGGGGGCTTGGGGCTTGAATTTAGAGGTTTCGGGATGGGAGCTTGGGTGAAGGCTACTGGGGCTCGGGACTTGGGTTTGGTGTTCGGGAATTGGTGGTTGAGCTTGTTTCAGAGTTGGGACCAACGAGCTTGCTTGCATGTGCACCCTGAAGAAACTTCTCCTTGACGATCACTGCCCCTCATCGCCATCATCATCAGCGGTCATCGCCATCGTTGTCCTCATCACGATCATGGCCATTCCCATCCTCATCATCATCATGATCATAACCATCCCATGGTCATGACCACGTCTTGTTTAACAGCAAGACCATCATCATCACGACGATCACGACCCTCATCACAGCAGCCCCAGCATCACCGTCCTCAACATGTTCGGCCTCGTCTCGTCCTTCTCTACCCCGTCATCATGAGTCTCGTTGTCATCATCATCATCATCATCATCATCATCATCCTTCATCCCTTCTTGTCAAAAAAAGTTATACTCACCGTATTTCTCATCATCACCAGCTCATCCCTCCTCTGCCTTCTCAGGCCTTACCACCATACAAATTCAAACTGCAACCCTGAAACTTGAAAGCTCGCTCGGGGAACGGCGCTGCTTCCGCCTTGGGCTTCGGTGAGGGCGGCGAGCGCCTGGAAGCGATTCATTTCTCACACGGCAGCAGCTCTTGGAGCTCTCAAAGTCAGGGGTGTAACGGTGTGACTGTAAGGATGACCCACGAATTCAACACATAGTCGCGTCAAGTACACAACATGCGTGCTACACGGCAAGGAGAAATGCACACAATCCAGACAGCATGCAGGACTCCGTGCTAGAAATCAATCTCACAGGCTTGGACTCTAGGCATCCGGGGCCACGGCTCGCCGCCACCTGTCGCCTGGCAAAGGGTTGAAACGACTCTAGTACAGCGACCATGCTACTAATCATACATAAAATATGTAAATATGCCGAATACGGCCACGACCACACGCATCACGACGACGAGTCCTCCTGGCAGCTGTTCGTGCCGACTTCCTGACCAGTCTCCCATCGCAGCTGAAGGACTTCAAGGGTGGAAGCCAGCCGAGAGCCACGGCGGGCTCGGAGCTTCGAAGTAGGGGAGAAGCTGACAGGTCTCAGGGTGGTCCCCCACTTTTTGCTTCATCGACAGCCAGCGCAGTTACAGAAATGGACCCCCTGATTGCGAAGCAGGGTGACAATGCGACAAGTCCTGCAATTATCAATCAAGGGATCCTTCCTTGCAGGGTCTGCGTGGGTTGAAGCTCCAACGAGTGCTGGCAGCACGCTCTACACCCAGCCCGATACGACGGACTGTTGCGGTTGCTACACGGTGCACCAAAGAGACAATCTTTGCTAGCTCCGTGAAAAGACCTTGGTGTTTCCTCGAGAATTGCAAAAGCATCTTTACCCATCTCAAGCCGGAAACGTACAGCATGACAAAAGATAGCAACCTCGCCTGTAGTGCCGAGTATGCTTGTCGTAGTGTCCGGAAAGATGAGTCGATACGACACAAGGAAGACAACATAAGATGAGGCAGCCCATCAACAAGACCACCCTGCACGAATGCGGAAATCACATGGATCAAAATCCCTAAAGCCAACCTATACGAGATAGGTCTTTTGAAGAATCCCACAAAACCTATGGCTGTTCGAAAAAACGCTGTAAATACCGACACTGGGATCTGGGAGGAAGCACGAAGGCAGCGCCGAAAATCGGGGACTCCACACTTCCAGGTCTTCTGTGGGATGTTTCAGGAAGCCGCAGTTGGGAATTCCTCTAAGGCAGCCTTGCCAACAGGGTGGTAAGTTACAATTCATTCAGGTCAGCAGGACGAGAAAACAAAACGGCACAATGCACCAAGTTTTAAATGTCGGGCACGTAGTACTTGCCGTAGGGGCAACAATCATATTACAAGGAAGTTGCGATGGTGCATTGGCGGCCGCGAAGATTGTTGTGGTGATGATATTGTCCCGAACTAACGTTCAGTGACGGTGCTGGCAGTGGTGCTGTGGGCAGCAGCAGCAGCAGCAGCAGCAGCAGCAGCAGCAAAAGCAGCAGCACCAACAGCAGCAAGAGCAACAGGAGCAGGAGCAGGAGCAGCAGTAGTAGTGGTAGTATTTGTAGTCGTGGTCAAGTAGCAGAAGGGAGTCGCGGTTGCGACAACAGCGTCAGAAGTCATCAGATGCCATCGTCGTAGCAGTAGTAGTAGTCGTCGTCGTCGTAGTAGTAGTAGTAGTAGGAACTTCCGGTTGCATTCATTAGTAGCCGTGGGAGCAGCGGTGATAAAAAAAACAACTAGAGTCACTAGAGACACAGGTACAGGTAGTCAACAAGTGTTGTTAAACGGCATATTTGTCGTCTTTCGACTCTGCGACTGTTGGCGTCACAGGGCCCCCGTGTCCTACAAAAGGCTCTGGAAGCATGGCACCACTGTACAAAATGGCAGGCACAATCTTGGTCAGGATCCTTCCGGAAGGCCCGAAACAAGGGCCTTTCAGCATGTTTGGGACCTGATTTCCCGAAGTTACGTTTGTTTCAGGCGCAGGGCTTAAGAGTTCGGTCTTTCTTGGGGCCAGAGAGCGTGCTGATCCGTGGTTCGGGACGCCAGGCTCGGAGGACTTACTCGGTTTTCCATTTGTGAAAGTGTGTAGCCTAACCTTCCTTGACCTAAATCGTGAACCTTTACAACCTTAAACTCGTCAAGCCTACAGCACACACGTCTTCATGTCTTGGTCCCTCGGCTTTCAAGGCCCTTGCTGGGCACGGGCGGATCCTCGCGCCTGCTTCAAATGCAGCAGCCGGAGCTGCGTGGGGGCCGCTTTAAAAGCGCGCTAAGCGCAGGGCACCAGCCCCGCCGCCTCAACGGGGCCGACGTGCCGAAACAAGCCCTGGATTGGGGCGGAGAGGGAAGGAGCTGCGGGTTTAGGATGAATTTAATCTTTTAGGTGTTGGGGGGGGTGCTCAAGAGGATTTGAGGCACTCCTTCCAGCTAAAGGGAGCACATCTCGACTCACCGAATCTGTACATGAAACAAGCTTGCTGGACTTCGGAAGTCACACCATTCCTATTCATGGCAAGCCTTAGGGACGGTCTTTCCTCAACGCCTTCTCACAAAGCGTAGTACTGCGCGTGAACGCGCGTTATCCTCCTGTCCACGCGGCTTCCATCTTAAGCGGATTTGGAATGACCGTCGGGATGCCAACAAAAACGCAAGAAATCAATTTTCAGAAATCGTCAGCTTTGCTGTCTGGAAGAAACTGGTTGGAGGCCTCGGCGGCAGGCTGAAGTGTTCTTCCCTGAGTGTGCACCTACGCGCGCTCGGAAGGAATTCAAGCTGCCTCCATCTTTTTACCTGACTGCCACCTGCCGGCCTCATCAAACTTCTCCGAATCTCGGAAAGGGAAACACAAAGCGAAACAGAGCAAGGGAAGTAAGGGAGCAGGACACGGAGAGACAGGGACAGGGAGAAACAGAAAAGACCAAAGAGAAAGCATATTTCTTCTTTTATGTGGACACCATATCCATGTATGTATATACATACATACACACATATATACATATATACATATTATACATATGTACATATTACACATATATATATATATACATATACATATTATACATTTATATATATATATATACAGATATATAAACATATCTGTATATATATATATATATATACACATATTATATCTGCATGCATATGGCCTTTCCTTGCTCTTTTCTGCAGCCGACGCGGCCGCGCTGCAGGCTGCGCCTGGGGCTGGGCCAGATGGATGGAGCTTCCCAGCCTCAGCACAGGATCGACACAAAGGCTGCCTTGTGGATTGGTGTGTAAGGTTTTCTGGTTGAGGGCACGTTGCGGGTAGACTAAAGGGTCGAAGGTCAAGGGTTCAGGGTATCCAGCTTCCCAGTAGAGACACGTTCTTTGTTTTCGAAACTCTCTGTGTTGTCGTCTGGTCTTTCAAGGCCATGAATTTAAAAAACATGTCGAACAAAATGACTCGCGCTCGACCCTACAATTTGACCTAGAACTCCAGACACCGAAACTCAGAAACCCGAAAACAAGAACGTGCAGGTCCCAAAATTCGCAAACCCCAAAACGTCCAAAAATCCTGGACCCCGGAAGACCCGCCCCTGAAAGACCCCTAAACCCTAAAAACCCTTGAAAAGGGAAGCTCAGCCTTTACACCCGGGCACAGCGTCGCGAGGAGGGCCACGAGCATGCCGCAGCAAATCGACGCTGCGAATCGCCTCTTCGGAGCCTCCTGGGGTTTAGGCCGCGTCTTTGCGGCTTTGAGTGTGTTTTTTGAGGGGGGGCTTGCGAAGTTCTCGACTAAAACCACTCCTTTCCACGGTGCTTCAAAATCCAAACTTTTGGCTCTCCCGAATGCAGTCGCCCCTCTGGGGTGTTGGGACATTCCAAAGTTCGGAATCTATGTCTCGCCACGCAGCCAGGATGAGGCCCTAAGCGCAACCCGGTTGCTTCAAACTTGGCGCCAACACCTCGCAACAACGACTTTACCCCAATCCTGGCTGACAGGTTTGGGTGCCTCAAACTTGGCGCCAACACCTCCCAACAACGACGTTACCCAAATCCTCGCTGACTCAGCGAGGTTTGGTTGCTTCAAACTTGGCGCCAACACCTCCCAACAACGACTTTACCTCAATCCTGCCTGACAGGTTTGGATGCTTCAAACTTGGCGCCAACACCTCCCAACAACGACGTTACCCCAATCCTCGCTGACTCAGCGAGGTTTGGTTGCTTCAAACTTGGCGCCAACACCTCGCAACAACGACTTTACCCCAATCCTGGCTGACAGGTTTGGGTGCCTCAAACTTGGCGCCAACACCTCCCAACAACGACTTTACCTCACCTCCCAACAACGACGTTACCCCAATCCTCGCTGACTCAGCGAGGTTTGGTTACTTGGCGCCAACACCTCCCAACAACGACTTTACCTCTATCATGGCTGAAAGATGTGGCTGCTTCAATTTTGGCGCCAACACCTCCCAACAACGACTTTACTCCAATCCTGGCTGACATTTGGTTGCTTCCAACTTGGAGTCAACACCTCCTAACAACGACTTTACCCCAATCCTGGATGACAGGTTTGGCTGCTTCACCGTCCCCATCCACGGCCGGGTCCTCCCGCGAACGCGGCACCCAGAGCTCCCACCCGTCCCTGTCCCCGTCCACGGCCGCACCCTTCCGCGAACCAGAGCTCCCTAGGTCTACACGTTCCCGTCCACGGCCGCGTCCACGCCCGCGTCTTCCCGTGAGCTCGGCACCGAGAGCTCCCCAGCCCGTCGACACGATGCCGTGGACGCGTCCTCTTCGCTAAAAGGCTTTTCCGGTCCACGGCAACGTTTTTTAATGAACGCTCCCCGCGGGAAGGAAGTACCAAACAAGAACCCAACCCTTGAGGGGTTGTTGGGAAAAATTGCGCCAAGGGAATCAAGGCCCGGCCTCATCTTTCGCCAACTCCAACTCCTCCTCCTCTTCCTCCTCCTCCTCTGCCTCTCGGCCGCTTTCCTGGAGGGCGCGTTTAGATCGGGTGTGGAGCGTATTTTGCGCTGGAGGGTTTAGGGTAAAAACCCACCACTGCATCCGAAAACCCTGCACCCCTTGAACTCTGACCCTGGGCCGTTCAAGCCTCTAATACAGGGGCCTTAGAAATAAGAATAGGGTTTTGGGGCACATTATACCACAATTATGATGGGGAACCCCCAAAATAGTATTGGTAATCGTTTCGGCCCCTATATTACACCCTTATGGTAACCCTTGTAGATCCTTTATAGGAACCCTTTAAAGGAACCCAGTCTCGCTATCTGGGCCCCTATATTACGGTTTGTGTGCTCATTTCTCTGCGCCAACAGTAGAGAAGGACAGGGAGCTTAATGGCTCTTATAATCCCCTCCCCCTTTTATTAAAGGACCCCCTAATTATAAAAACACTTTTCCCCCGATCCACCCGGAAGTAGCACCGCCCTTTAAACCCTAATTTGAATTAAGGGGAAGGTTTAGGGTCTATAGATTGAGGGTTTAGGGGCCGCATGAAAAGCTTTATTAGCCAAGCCTTTATTGAAGCCTATTTTTTTAATGCGTATTTACGGATTTAGTGTGTATTTGCACGGATTTGTGTGTTTGCACGGATTTAGTGTGTATTTGCACGGATTCAGTGTGTATTTGCACGGATTTAGTATGTATTTGCACGGATTCACGGATTTAGATGTATTTGCACGGATTCCGTGTGTATTTGCACGGATTTGGTGTGTATTTGCACTCACGTCCTGTGTAGTTGCACGAATTTAGTGTGTATTTGCATGGATTTGCACGGATCGTGAGTATTTGCACGCAGTATTTGGTGTCTAATTACAGGGATGTAGTGTGTGTATTTGCACAGATTCCGTGTGTATTTGCACGCATTTACTGTGTGCCTGGTGTGTAGTTAGAGGGATTTAGTGTGTGTGTCTTTACACGGATTTAGTGTGTGTTTGCATGGATTCGGCGTGTATTTGCACGGATTCAGTGTGTATTTGCATGGATTTGGTGTGTATTTGCACGCATTTCGTGTGTATTAGCACGAACTTGGTGTGCATGTGCACGAACTTCGTATGTCTTTGCACGGTTTAATGTGCATTTGCACGGATTTGGTGTGATTTGCAACCCTTATAATAGCGTTTCTTAAGTCTCCAGAGAGCCCAGAGCTTCAGGTCACCCCAAAATCTCGATTCCAGGTGGGGAAAGGGCCCAAATGACACCCCCGGGAATTGAGCCCGCAGCCTTTGCGAGGAGGGCTTTGGAGGCAGACGTTTACCCATTAGGCCATGGCCAGATAGTTCTGGGGGCTGGCGGCTGCCTCCGTAGGGGATTTGGGCACGGTCGCAGGCCCAATTCTGGCGGTGTCCCCGTGGGCCCTTTCCCCATCCAGAATCGAAATTTGAAATGACCAAAAACCGCCAAGAGCACAACCAAACCCGCCGAAAACCGCGCAAACCCACCAAAACCCTCCCCGGTGCAAGTTCCCAACATCAACAGCAGGTTGCAGAGGTTGAACCAGCAGGTTGCAGAGGTTGAACCAGCAGGTTGCAGAGGTTGAACCAGCAGGTTGCAGAGGTCGAAGCTGCAGGTTGCAGAGGTAGAAGCAGGTTGCAGGTTGCAGAGGTTGAAGCAACAGGTTGCAGAGGTTGAACCAGCAGGTTGCAGAGAGGTTGAACCAGCAGGTTGCAGAGGTTGAACCAGCAGGTTGCAGAGATTGAAGCAGCAGGTTGCAGAGGTTGAAGCAGCAGGTTGCAGAGGTTGAACCACAGCAGGTTGCAGAGGTTGAACCAGCAGGTTGCAGAGGTTGAACCAGCAGGTTGCAGAGGCAGAGGTTGAACCAGCAGGTTGCAGAGGTTGAAGCAGCAGGTTGCAGAGGTTGAAGCAGTAGGTTGCACAGGTTGAACCAGCAGGTTGCACAGGTTGAACCAGCAGTTTGCAGAGGTTGAACCAGCAGGTTGCAGAGGTTGAAGCAGCAGGTTGCAGAGGTTGAGCCAGCAGGTTGCAGAGGTTGAACCAGCAGGTTGCAGAGGTTGAAGCAGCAGGTTGCAGAGGTTGAAGCAGCAGGTTGCAGAGGTTGAACCACAGCAGGTTGCACAGGTTGAACCAGCAGGTTGCAGAGGTTGAACCAGCAGGTTGCAGAGGCAGAGGTTGAAGCAGCAGGTTGCACAGGTTGAACCTGCAGGTTGCAGAGGTTGAACCTGCAGGTTGCAGAGGTTGAAGCAGCAGGTTGCAGAGGTTGAACCTGCAGGTTGCAGAGGTTGAAGCTGCAGGTTGCAGAGGTTGAAGCAGCAGGTTGCACAGGTTGAACCAGCAGGTTGCACAGGTTGAACCAGCAGGAGGTTGACCAGCAGGTTGCAGAGGTTGAACCTGCAGGTTGCAGAGGTTGAACCTGCATGTTCCAGAGGTTTGGTGGGCTTGCGCGGTTTTGGGCGGGTGTGGTTGTGCTCTCTTGGCGCTTTTGGTCATTTCAACATTTCGATTCTGGATGGGGAAAGGGCCCAAAATGACACCGCAAGAATTGGGCCTGCGACCTCTCCCAAAACTACTAGGGAGGTGCGCAACCTTTCCAAAACTATCTGGCAATGGCCTAATGGGTAAGTGTCCGGCTCTAAAGCCTTCTTGGCAAAATTCGTGGGCTCAATCCCCGGGGGCGTCATTTAGGCCCTTTCCCCACCCGGAATCGAGATTTTGGGGTGGCCTGAAGCTTTGGGCTCTCCGGGGACTCTCTAGAGCGGACTGGGTGCACATCCGGCTTTCGTGGGGCAGGTTGCAGAGGTTGAACCAGCAGGTTGCAGAGGTTGAACCAGCAGGTTGCAGAGGTTGAAGCAGCAGGTTGCAGAGGTTGAAGCAGCAGGTTGCACAGGTTGAACCAGCAGGTTGCACAGGTTGAACCAGCAGGTTGCAGAGGTTGAAGCAGCAGGTTGCAGAGGTTGAAGCAGCAGGTTGCAGAGGTTGAACCACAGCAGGTTGCACAGGTTGAACCAGCAGGTTGCAGAGGTTGAACCAGCAGGTTGCAGAGGCAGAGGTTGAAGCAGCAGGTTGCACAGGTTGAACCTGCAGATTGCAGAGGTTGAACCAGCAGGTTGCAGAGGTTGAAGCAGCAGGTTGCAGAGGTTGAACCTGCAGGTTGCAGGGTTGAACCAGCAGGTTGCAGAGGTTGAACCACAGCAAGTTGCAGAGGTTTAACCAGCAGGTTGCAGAGGTTGAACCAGCAATTTGCAGAGGTTGAACCAGCATGCAGAGGTTGAAGCAGCAGGTTGCAGAGGTTGAACCAGCAGGTTGCAGAGGTTGAACCTGCAGGTTGCAGAGGTTGAAGCTGCAGGTTGCGGAGGTTGAAGCAGCAGGTTGCAGAGGTTGAAGTTGCACAGGTTGAAGCAGCATGAAGCGGCAGGTTGCAGAGGTTGAACCAGCAGGTTGCACAGGTTGAACCAGCAGGTTGCACAGGTTGAACCTGCAGGTTGCAGAGGTTGAAGCAGCAGGTTGCAGAGGTTGAACCTGCAGGTTGCAGAGGTTGAAGCTGCAGGTTGCAGAGGTTGAAGCAGCAGGTTGCACAGGTTGAACCAGCAGGTTGCACAGGTTGAACCAGCAGGTTGCAGAGGTTGATCCACAGCAAGTTGCAGAGGTTTAACCAGCAGGTTGCAGAGGTTGAACCAGCAACTTGCAGAGGTTGAACCAGCAGGTTGAACCTGCAGGTTGCAGAGGTTGAAGCAGCAGGTTGCAGAGGTTGAACCAGCAGGTTGCACAGGTTGAACCAGCAGGTTGCACAGGTTGAACCAGCAGGTTGCAGAGGTTGAACCAGCAGGTTGCAGAGGTTGAAGCAGCAGGTTGCAGAGGTTGAACCAGCAGGTTGCAGAGGGTTGGTGGGTTTGCGCGGTTTTGGGCGGGTGTGGTTGTGCTCTCTTGGCGCTTTTGGTCATTTCAACATTTCGATTCTGGATGGGGAAAGGGCCCAAAATGACACCGCAAGAATTGGGCCTGCGACCTCTCCCAAAACTACTATCAAGGTGCGCAACCTTGCCAAAAACTATCTGGCCATGGCCTAATGGGTATGTGTCCGGCTCCAAAGCCTTCTTGGCAAAGGTCATGGGCTCAATCCCCAGGGGTGTCGTTTGGGCCCTTTCCCCACCCGGAATCGAGATTTTGGGGTGGCCTGAAGCTTTGGGCTCTCTGGGGGCTCTCTGGAGGGGACTGGGTGCACATCCGGCTTTCGTGGGGCAGGTTGCAGAGGTTGAACCAGCAGGTTGCAGAGGTTGAGCCAGCAGGTTGCAGAGGTTGAAGCAGCAGGTTGCAGAGGTTGAAGCAGCAGGTTGCAGAGGTTGAGCCAGCAGGTTGCAGAGGCTGAACCAGCAGGTTGCAGAGGTTGAAGCAGCAGGTTGCAGAGGTTGAAGCAGCAGGTTGCAGAGGTTGCAGAGGTTGCAGAGGTTGAACCTGCAGGTTGCAGAGGTTGAAGCAGCAGGTTGCAGAGGTTGAACCTGCAGGTTGCCACATGTGCTCTTCTGCACTTGTGCAACCATGAAGCATTGCTATCATCAACAACAACATCATCATCATGTTCTTCATCATCATCATGTTCTTCTCTTGGACCATGATCATCGTCATCATTACCATCACCACCACTACCGCCATCTTCATCATAACAAGCATCACCGTAATCGTCATCATCATTTTCATCGTCATCATTTTCATCATTTAATTACTTGTAGAACCTGTGTTTCTAGGAATTGAGATAACAACACCCCCCTAATTATAAAAACATTTTCGAGTTTTTATTTAGGGCGAAGGGGGGGGGGGGCCCCGACCCTTTAATATTAGGGGGAGGGGATTAGGCGGCCACGGGGGCTACTGTTTGATAGATAAGTAGGTCGATAGCTAAATAGGTAGAGAGAGAGAGAGAGAGAGAGGGGAGAGAGAGAGAGAGAGACAGACAGAGAGAGGGGGAGAGAGAGGGAGAGAGAGAGAGACAGAGATAGATAGAGAGATAGATAGGTAGAC